AACATATCAATATTAACTCTAAATGTAAATGGATTAAACTCTTCAATAAAAAGACACAGAGTTGCAAGCTGGATTAAAAAACAAAACCCAATGTTTTGCTATTTCCAGGAAACTCATTTAACTACAAAAGATAAAAATAGACTGAAAGCAAAAGGATGGTAAAATCATCCTAAAAGTATATGGACCAAAAAAGAAGGCAGGAACAGCTATACTTATATCAGATAAAATAGATTATCAAAGGGCCTTGCAGTGGCGCAGAGGGTAGAGCACTGCACTGCAGAGGCTGTCTGCAGCCTCTGCAGTGCAGGTTCAATCCCAGCCGGCTGGCAAGAATCCCACCTGGCGCTCCAGATCTCTCCTGTCATGCCCGCTGCTCCCCTCAGCATTGTATTTCTCTCGTATGCCTGTTCTGCTTCCTGCTCTGTCTCTGGTGAATCCTCTCACCCTCCCACACCTCTGGCCTGTACCCCAGCTCTTGTATAAAAAAAAAAGATATAAAACTCAAAAAGGTAAAAAGAGACCCAGGCGGTCACTATATTATGATCAAGGGGACAATACTTCAAGAAGAAATAACAGTCATTAACATATACTCACCAAATGAAGGAGCACCAAAATACATCAGACAACTATTATCATCTCTGAAAACAGACATCAGAGAATACACATATGTAGTAGGAGACTTCAAAACACCACTATCGACAATGGATAGAACAATGAGACAAAAAATAAGTAAGACATTAAAGCTCTAAATAAGGATCTAGAGCTCATGGGCTTAACAGACATCTATAGAACACTAAACCCAAAAAAAACCTGAGTACACATTTTTCTCAAGCGCACATGAATAATTCTCCAGGATCAATCACATACTGGGACACAAGACAAACATCAACAGATACACCAAGATTGAAATCATACCAACCATATTCTCTGACCATGAAGGCATCAAACTAGAAATAAATCATAAAACATATAATATAGGAATCCTCCTACCTCATGGAGATTTAAACCCACACTACTGAAAGACGACACACTGGACTAATGAGGAGATCAAAGAAGAAATAAAAAAATAATCAAAATACTTTGAGTTGAATGACAAGGCGGACACAATTTCCTAAATGTATGGGATGCAGCAAAAGCAGTAATAAGTGAAAAATATATAGCAATACAGGCTCAAGAAATAAGAAATAACTCAAAGAAACAACCTAATCTCACATCTCAAAGAACTAGAAAAAAGAACAACAAAAAAAACTAAAGCCAGTAGAAGACATAATAAAAATCAAAGCAGAAATAAATGAAATAGAAACTTAAAAAACAATCCAAAAGACCAATGAAACTAAAAGTTGGTTCTTTGAAAAAACAAATAAAATAGATAAACCCGTAGCCAGGCTCACAAAGGAAAAATGGGAGAAAGAACAAATAAATAGGATCACAAATGGAAGAGGAGAAATCACAACAGACACAGCAGAAATCAAAAGAATAATCAAAAACTACTATGAACAGTTATATGCAAATAAACTCAACAATCTAGAAGAGATGGACAAATTCCTACAACTCTACAATTACCCAAAGCTAGATAAAGAAGAAATAGAATACCTAAACAGACCAATTACAAGCAGTGAAATTGAAATGGTAATCAAAACCCTCCCCAAAAAACAAAGCCCAGGATTTACAAATGAATTCTACCAACATTCAGAAACAAATTAGTGCCTATTCTTCATAAAATATTTCAAAAATTGAGAAGGAAGGGATAATACCAAACATGTTCTATGAAGCCATCATTACACTAACACCAAACCCGAACAAGGACAACACAAAAAAAAAGAAAACCACTGGCCAATCTCTCTAAGAAACACTGATGCAAAAATCCTCAATAAAATTTTAGCTATCAGAATCCAACAATGTATCTATAAGATAATTCACCATGACCAAATAGGATTTATTCCAGGGACACAAAGATAGTTCAACATCTGAAAATTAATCAATATAATCCAACACATCAGCAAAAAGAAACATAAAAACCATATGATAATACCAGTAGATGCTGAGAAAGCTTTTGACAAAGTACAACACCCATTCATGACAAAGGCCCCTGATATTCTTGGTATACAAGGAACATACCACAACATCATAAAGGCCATATATGATCAGCCCATAGCCAATACCATCCTCAATGGTGAAAAGCTTAAAAGATTAAAGCATTTCCTTTAAGATCTGGAACAAGACAAGGATGTCCACTCTTACCACTGCTTTTCAATATAATACTGCAAGTCCTAGCCAGAGCAATAAGACAAGAGAAAGACGTACAAGGAATCCAAATAGGAAAAGAAAAAGTCAAACTATCACTATTTGCAGATGATATGATAATATACATAGAGAACCCCAAAAACTCCACAGAAAAACTAATTCAACTAATCAATCAGTTCAGTAAAGTGGCAGGATACAAAATCAACACAAAAAAGTCAGTAGCCTTCCTATACACAAACAATAAATCTGAAGAAGAAGAACACAAGACAACCATCCCTTTTAATATTGAAACAAAAAGATCAAATACTTGGGTATAAACCTAACAAAAGAGGTAAAGGACCTATACAACGAAAACTATTAAACACTGTTAAAAGAAATAGAAGACACAAAGAAATGGAAAGACATCCCCTGCTCATGTATTGGAAGATTAACATTATCAAAATGGCCATCCTACCAAAAGCAATGTACATATTTAATGCTATTCCAATAAAAATTTCAATGACATTCTTCAAAGAAATAGAACAAATATTGCTGAAATTTATATAGTGCCACCAAAAACCCCAAATAGCCAAAGCTCTCCTGAAAAAAAAAAAAAAAAAGAGAAGGGAATAGAGGCATCATACTCCCAGATTTCAAACTATACTACAAAACCATAATAATCAAAACTGCATGATATTGGAACAAGAACAGACACACAGACTAATGGAACCAAACAGAAAATCCAGAAATAAACCCAGAGATTTACAGTCAACTAATCTTTGACAGAGGAGCAAAGAATATGCAATGGAGCAAAGAAACTTTATTCAATAAATGGTGCTGGGAAAACTGGATTGCTACATGCAAAGGAATGAAGCTTGACCACTACCTCACACCATGCACAAAAACTAACTCAAAATGGATTAAAGAACAGACATAAGACCTGAAACCATAAAATAGATAGAAGGAAATATAGGCAAAACACTACATGATATACACCTCAGCAACATCTTTAAAGACTCATCACCCAAAGCAGTGACAGCGAAGGCAAAGATAAACAGCTTGGAGTACATCAAATTAAAGAGCTTCTGTACAGCAAAAGAGACAGTAACCAAAACAAAGGGACACCCCACTGACTGGGAGAAAATTTTTGCACACAGCACTAATGATAAAGCACTGATCACAAAAATCTAAAAGAGCTGAAGAGTGTCAACAAAAGCAAAGTAAATAAACCTGTCAAAAAATGGGCAGAAGAGCTAAAAAGGAACTTCTCCAAAGAGGAAATGCAAATGGCCAACAGGCATGTGAAAAAATGTTCAGCATCACTTGTTATCATGTAAATGCAAATCAAAACTACAATGAAATACCATCTTACGCTAGTGAGAATGACGCATATTAAAAAAAAATAGCTACAACAAATGTTGGCGTGGTTGCAGAGAAAAAGGAACCCTCCTGCACTGCTGGTGGGAGTGCAAACTGTTCCAACCATTATGGAAAGCTGTGTGGAGATTCCCCAACTTGCTACAGATGGAGCTTTCATATGATCCAGCTTCCATATGATCCAGCAATTCCACTCCCAGGTATATACCCAAAGGACATAGAATCATTAATTCAAAAGGGCACCTGCACCCCTATGTCTATAGCAGCACTATTTACAATAGCTAAGCTATGGAAACAACCCAAATGCCCAAAAATAGATGACTGGATCAAGAAGATGTGGTACATATACACCATGGAATATTACTCAGCAATCAAAAAAGATAAACTCATGTAATTTACAGCAACATGGATGGAGCTGGAAGGGATCATGTTCAGTGAAATAAGCCAGAAGAAAAAGAAAAATACCAGATGGTCTCACTCATAGCATAAATTTAGAAAACCTAAATAAGGGACTAGGAAAAATAATTATAATAAAGTAAAAATCAAAATCAACAAGCAACTATAAACCATGGGAGTAAGATCAAAACCGGGAAGGGGGGGTGGGAATTGTATGGGGAATATAACCAAAATGAAAATGCATACATTGTGCAAAAATGAAAAATAATGTAAAAAATAATTTTTAAAAAGCACAGAAGAAAAATGTTATATACAACACTATATCCTTATTCTGTCCCAAAGTTACAAGTTGTAGATTTTTATTTCTTTACTTTAAAATATCTATCTGAGGGCCTCCCTGGTGGCGCAGGCAGTTGAGCACAGCGCTGTGAAGCTCTTCACAGCCTCTGTAATGCCGGTTGGATACCCATCAGCCTCGGAGCAACCCACATGGCAGCAGACCTCTCCAGTCTTGCCTGCTGCTCCCCTCAGCAGTGTATTTCGTAAGTCTACCTGTTCTGTTCCTCGCTCTGTCTCTGGTGAATCCTCTCACCCTCCCGCACATCTGGCCTGTACCCCAGTTCTTGTATAAATAAAATAAATCTTTAAAAAATAAAATAAAATATCTCAATTATATTCATTACTAAATAAAACTGTTTAGAACTTTATACATATGCCAGAATTTCACATTTTGTTACACAACATTAAATGTCTTTAAAAGGTTATTTTTACATTTAACACATCTTACATTTAACACATCTTACTGATCATATATATATATATATATATATATGATCTTGTAAATAAGATGTAATTCCTGGGCACTGCTATTTTTCTCCTCTTTGGCCACTCACCTTTAATCTTTAATAATTATATAGATTCCAAATAAAATATGATTTTTCAAAAGGCAATAAGCAGGTCGGGAAAAGTTCTTTCTAAGAAAATTATTCTATTTTATTTTTTAATAATGTGATAACTTTCTGAATATGTTTAAAAAGATAAAGTCCTTTCAACGCAGAGGTAAAGAACAGGCATTGCTTTAGCAGAGTCAAAGACAAGAGAACTATAAAGCACACCTGTGTGGGCAATCTAAGAAAAATTTTAATACACCTAAGTAATTTTCGTTACACTCTTTCCCTGTCCCATCTCTAGGTATGCTATCACTCTATAATCCACTTCTCTGTGACACAACACTCCAGCTATCCAGAGAGTCAGGGTATCCTCGAGCCACTATAATTACTCCTCCGTAGAGATGTTAGTAGACTTTGCCTCAACTAGACTTTCTAAACGCCTAGCTTCATATCAAATTTGCAATTCCCTTTAGGTTCTTGAAGGGTAGTACAAAATACCTTTCAGGTAATTATCTGAAAAGGCTCATCAGAATAATATTTTATCTTACTAGGTAAAATACTCTTAAATCTAATTAGTACAAAATTCCCAATTATGTTACTCCTTTAGATTAAATTCTGGGACTAGTTTGAGGGCTATATCAAAGCAATGGAAATGCTAGGGACAGAATGCTAGGGATTTGGATTGGACTTTTACTAAGACCACACTGCCATTCATCATTAGAATGTTTTTCATGTAACCAAATAACAAAATAAATGCATTATTACCAATGTAAGGGTGCTATAACCCTGTGTTACAGGAAGGGCTAACATTATTATTCATAGTTTACAGATGAAGCAATACAGTTTAGTAGTATTAAAAGATTTGCACTAGTTCATTGGTTTATTAAATCACAGACTAATGTCAAAATCAAGGTCTATACTCATATAAGACTACAGAAAAGAAGGCTGAGCCAAATGAATTGTAAAATTTTCTTATAGCCCAAATGCTATAATTGATCATCCAGTGATTTATTTAATTACAAACTGATTTCAAAGATGGATGTAACAAAACCAACAGAGTCTATTGCTTAGATTAAGGTGAAAATTTAATGTTTTTGTTTATGTTTTATCTTTTTATTTCTTTTGTCACTTTAAATTATGTTTCATCATAATAGAAGGCACATCAATTTGTGTATTTTCTTTTCATTCTCCCTACATAATACACTAACAGTAGCTCATTCCACGATAACTAAAGTAAAACTCTTTAATATTTATATTTATTAATCTATAAATAAATTGTGTATGTACTTTTTGCAATGTGATTTCTAGGCACCAGAGTTATAAGTGTGAACAAAACAGAGTCGTTATTTTCAAGGAGTTCATATTTAGTGGGAAAAGGCAATGTGTAAATACACAAATAATTTAAGAATATCCATATGACATGTCTTTCAGAAATAAATTCTAAGGGAAAAAAATAAAGCCAGAGGATACAAAGTGAGAGGAGATTGTCCATTTTAGGTAAGAGTGGTCATTTGAACAGATAGTGTTGACATGAGAAAGTGACATGTAAACATCTGAAAGGTTTTTCAGGCTGAAAAAAAAGAAATAATTTCTAAGGTGGGAACTAATTTGGGGATTTTGTGACTGGCAGAGAGGTAGAAAATGAGGTTAAGACAAATAGCCACTCCTAGGGATCTACCCAAAGGACACAAAAACATTGATTCAAAAGAACACCTGTACCCCTATGTTTACTGCAGCACTATTTACATTAGGTAAAACCTGGAAACAACACAAATGCCCAAAAATAGATGACTGGATCAAGAAGATGTGGTATATATACACAAAGGAATATTATTCAGCAATCAAAAAAGATAAACTCATGTCATTTGCAGGAACATGGATGGAGCTAGAAGGGATTATGCTCAGTGAAATAAGCCAGAAGGAAAAAGAAAAACATTGGATGGTTTCACTTACAGCAGGAATATAGGGGAACCCAATAAGACCTCAGTGTAAAAAAAATAGTAACAGTACAAAACACAACAAAGCAAAAACAGACAATTATAAACCAGAGACCTACTGCAGAGGAGGAGGAAGGAGAGGCATCAGAGGGAGGGAGAAAGGGTGGAGAACAGGAGACTGTGGTGATGGTGCACAGGTGCCTGCGGATTCTATAGGGATTCAACCTGAGGGGGTGGGGGAAAACTAATATCGTTTTTAAAAAATTTTTTTAATTTAATTTTTTTTTTTTGTGGGACCCTCGCTGGCGGCCAGGGAACAACCCCGCACCGCAGAGGCTGCGGGCAGCCTCACAGCCCAGCGCTCAACCGCTGCACCACCAAGGGAGGCCCAAAAAAAAAAAAAATTTTTTTTTGAAAAAAGGAGTTAAAAGGGAAAAAGAGAGAGAGAGAGAGAGAGAGAGAGAAGTAGCCCAGTCTCAGGCTTTACTCACTGGTTACTGGTATTGTGGACTTTGCTTTTCCTTTGTGATGAGAATTCATTAGAAGACTGAGCTATGTGTGTGTTATGTATTAGCTGTATTAAAATATGATTTTGGTATTTTAAAGTTTAAAAGATCACCTTTATTTCAGCAGAGAATTGTATTACTGTACTATAACTGCCAAAACAAAGTATCACTGGGTAATTCAGACAGCAATTTGTTTTTCATAAATCTGGAGGCTACAAGCCCAAGATCAAGGTGTGTACAGGATGGGTGTCTTCTGAAGTCTGTCTTTTCCCTGTGTCTTCACATGCTTTTACCTGTCATGTTTAAATGTCCTTTTCTAATAAGACTCACCCATATAGAGGCACTTCAATTTAATTACCACTTTAAAGTTCCTATCTCCAAATATAGTCAAATTCTGAGGTATTACAGGTTAGAACTTCACCATATGAAATTTTAGAGAACACAATTTACTCCATAATAGGAATAAGATATATTATTGGGACAAAGGTGAAAACTGGGAGATTCTTTATAGGAATATAGGTATTATCTAATGGAAAAAAAAATGATGCTATTTGGATTTACATTAAGGGTCATGGGAATTAGTTATATATTATATAAATAATGAATTTTCAAGATTGTCATAAAATCCCTCTAAAAACATTTCAGGTGTGCCATACTTCCCCATGTTGATTGCAATTAATGCATAAGCTAAATATTCAGGAGCTAGAATTCAAAGACATGTCTGATTCCAAAGACCACATCCTATCCTCTTTAGCATGTTTTCTGAAGGTTGACTTTTCCTCTTAGAGGTATTGAATACTATGTATATAGAAGTTATCTTAATTGGGGGGGGGGGTTGACCATATAATTAAAGGAGTGGATGATCACATACATTTTCCAAACGAAGTAATATTTTTTAGCTTTCCTTTGTACAGAATACATATCAGTTTAACAAGCCTTTAATGGAGGCTTTCTGATCAACAGTCACTTCGTTTCTATTATTTATTTGGTTCCATACTAATTTCTGTTAGGAGTAATAAGAAGTAATGATCTTTTCTTTGAAGGAATATTCCATTTGCTGAGGAGAAAGGTGAATGCTCATGAAAATATGAGATTTGTTGAGTATCAAATGAGTTAGCTAACAAATAGTGCTGGAGAAGTTCAAAATAGAAATATCAGTGCAGGCTTTGAAAAAGTAAAATGATGCAACTTAACTTCCAAGAATCTCTAAAAACCCAATCCATCAATACTAATTTATTCAAATTTACAAATGTGGATACTCATTTTCTTTTCTTTCCCGGTAGGCAAACTTTTATTTGAAAATTAGCCATAGAGTTTACACTCCCAAGGATTGATACATATTCTCACAGGACATCCTCTGTTTTCCTTCCTAGCAATCCTCATATTGCCATTTTTTTGTTGAACACCTGTATCTGTTGGTAATTGGCAAGTATCATAAAACCAATGAATGGTTCATATCTGTTCTAATTCCTTTTCTTTACTCCCCAGCACAGAGACAATATGTGGACAAGAAGTCAACTGATTAGGTGCAAAGATACAAATAGTAGCAAGAGGAGGGAATAGATAAGACATTTGTGCAAAATGAAACATAGGAGAAATTTTATTCGTCATAGTCCTTACAAATATTTAGATGTTTCTGTAAATATTATTTCATAAAATGTTTGCTTTTTTATGGCTCAACTAGAGATTATGAATAACTCCAGACTAACAAATATCAATAGTATCTTTATGACTATAATATTTTATCCTGTGACTACATCATAATTCATTCAAAACATGCCCTATTGTTGAACATTTGGGCTCATTGTTTCCTTTTACAAAAATTCCTATATTATAGGGCCTTGCTGGTAGTGTGGGGGTTGAGTGCAGTGCTGTGAAGCTGTCCACAACCTTTGCAGCATGAGCTGGATCCCCAGCAGGCCAGGGAGCAACCCCCATGGTGCAGACCTCTCCTGTCTTGCCCGCTGTTCCCCTCAGCAGTGTATTTCTGTCAGTCTGCTTGTTCTGTTCCCCACTCTGTCTCTGGTGAATACTCTCAACCCCCATAACTCTGGCCTGTACCCCGGTTCTTGTATTTATAAATAAATAAACTTTAAAAAAATGCTACGTTATAAAATTTTCAGGGATTTTTGAGACATGAATTTGCTGCGTCAAAATGTGATAAATTTAGGGACTTGAGTAAATACTGTCAGAATTCTCTCCAAAGAAAGTATAAAGAAGCATATTTACATTTAAGGAAACAAAAGCAACTGTCATATACTTCTCAGACCTTATGTGTACTTGATTTGTAGGACTCTCCTGTTAAGTAGGGTGCAGTATTATTTAGAATTCAGTGGTCATGGGTATTCGAAGAACAATTTCTCTCTTTGAGAGCAATCTTCCAACATCTACAAACAAATGCCAGTGTGTTCTTTCTCCAAAGGAAAAATATAAAGCATGGAGAAATTAAATACTGTTCAAAGTCTGAAACTGTAAAAATATAACAATAGAGAAAACAAATAGAAAGTTTTAAGCTACACAACGACTTTAGCAGCTGGTGGATCCTACTATGCCTATTTTTGCACAGAATAAAAAAGACACAGCAGGTTCCCTGGGAACATCAAACTGAGAAAATTGACTACAGCTTTAACTGCCTTAAAAGAATTTTTTTGGCAGAATGAATAAGCATGCATAATTGAGAAAAACATCCCTATCTGTAGAAAAAAATAGATATAAAAGAGGCTAAACAAGAATATTACTGCCTGTTCTTTTCACAACAATTTTCCACCTGTTCCTGACTGCAGTACTTAGGGAA